TGCTTAATTATTCTGGCTAGGTCTTCCAATATTATGCTGAATAAAAATGGCAAGAGTAGCTGTCCTTGTCTGGTTTCTGATCTTATAGGAAAAGCTTTCAGCTTTTGACTGTTGAGTATGATGTAAGCTGGGGGCTCAGCATATAAGGCCTTTATTATGTTGAGGTATGTTTGCCTCTATTCCCACTTTGCTGAGAGCTTTTATCATAAATGAATGTTGAATTTAGTCAAATGCTTTTTCTGCATCTAGAGATCAATCTATGATTTTTATTGCTAACTTTTTTAAATCATAAATATTCTTAAGGTAGAAACTAAGATCACTAATTTTAACTCTTCTTTTTCTAATAAACATTCAAAGCTATAAATTTTCTTCGGAGCAGTGCTTTATTATTCTACATATTTTGATATATTGTATTTTGTTAGTTAAAATATTTTCTCTTTTGACTTTGAGTTCTTTGACCCATGGAATACTGACAAGTGTCTTGTCTGATACCTAAACACGTGGAGTTCTTCCAGGTATATGTTATTGATTTCTCTTTTACATACTCTGCATGTTCTTCTGTAACTTATTGACTTACTTTATGGTCCAGAAATTAGTATATCTTGGTGAACATAGTGTCTTCATGTGTCCGTGCCAAGATTATCTATATTCTACAGCTGTTGGGGGTGACTTGAGTTTTACACTTTCATGGCTGCTTTGGTTTTAATTTTAATTATAGTAAATTCCTAATTCCTTGAATAGTCTGTATTCCTAAGGAGCAGTCTTCTGTGATTTTAGTGGAAAGGTCCAAGGTCTTTACTATGGACTTCTAACTTAATGGAATTGAAATTCTAAACTCAGTTTCTCTTTGGTAGGTAGCAGCTAAAATTTCTGCTCAGCTCTTTCAGCTTTTTGGCTGCTACTTTCCAGTGAGCTCCTTGAAATCTTCCCTACATCCATGGTTCAAGATTCAACCAAGGATTTCAGGGGTGTTTATATGCAGATTTTGGGATTCACTTTCTGAGGCTTTTTCTTGTCTTGGATATCTTCTCTTAATTTCCAGCCTCTCTGACCTCTGATACTTTTAGCCAGTAAAGACCGTGGCTTTCTGCTTTGAGTTCTAGCTGACCATGCCTCATGGACTGGGAATTGCCCTTAGAGGAAAAGCTATATAAATGTGATTACACTCAGTGTGATTCCTTCTTTCAAGCTTTGCTTTCCCTCCAGTTTCCATCTGCTTTGGGTTGCTCTTGTAGGCCTTCAAATACTTTTTTTCATATTTTGTCTAGGCTTCATAATTGTTATCAAAGGAGGGTTAATCTAACACAAGCTATTTTGCCATTACCAAAACTAGAACTCCTAGTCTTTTAAGAAATTATTTTAAAAAATTTATCATGGTGAAATTCACATAACATAAAACTAACCATTTTAAAGCAAACAATTTAGGGGCATTTAGTATGTTCACAGTGTTGTACAACCATCATCTCTATCTAATCCCAAGTCATTTAAAAAAAAAATTAATTTTTTGATTTTATATTTGTATGCCATTTCTGTTAGTGAAAATCTTAGTTTCCAATACCATTAACATACTTACTGATTTGCTTTATGCTGCAATATACAGTTTTTAAATTGCTAACAATGAAACTATGTGAAGTTTTAGATTTCTTTGCAATCACTTTTGTTTTTAGAATATATCCCACCACGGAGGTAGAGAGGACTCTAGTCAACAGTTAGTTAAAACAATTATTTTCTCTGTCATATGTTACCAATCTCATATAATATGCAGTTTATTTTCAATTTTAGAATTTGCTTTTTTCTAGCTTCATAAAATTTGAAGTTTTCTTTCTTTAAATTCTCAAATAGTAATATCTGTTTTTTTGAAAGTGGTGAAATTTCTGGCAAAATTACTTGGTTTTATGCTTTCCTAGGGGGTGGGGGGAGGTAGCTTTTTGATAACTTCCTATAGTTCTTTATGAAAACTGGCCTAATTAAATTTTCTATATCTATTGGTATTCATTTGGTCAATTACATTTTTTGGCAAAATTACCCATTCCATTAAGGTTTTCAAATTTGTTTGCACAGAGGTATATAAAGTAGTCTCTTAAATTATCTTTTTAAAATTTATTTTGTCTTAATGGCCATTTCTCAGATTGCCTCACTATTATAGTAAGCATTCCAACCACTACAAAACAGCTAAAAGAACATAGTATTTATGAGTTATTTTGAGCAGGCCAGAGGAACCAAATAGTGCTATGAAGGGCTATCATGCTTGTGATTCAGCTTCTTTTGCAATTAAATGGGCAAAATACTCCTGGATCTTCATGCAGAAATACTGAAGATTAACTAATAATGTCAAAGAAGTTTATAAATGTAAATGGTCATACAAATCCACCCACAGAATGAATCATCTGTATAATAAAGAGGCGAGTATATCTGAAAAGTAGAATAGGGGAATTAATAAGGAGAGAGTGTGACATACAGTAGATTTTCTATCAGGAGATAGGCTTTTTTTGTAGAAACTTTCAAATTCCCGGAATGCATTTCTAGTGACACTAACCATATTCCTGGGTTTCCTGCTTCCTTTCTGCCTATTCCCCACCTGTGAAAGCACACACTGATGCATACACGCTTTTGAGTTAGTATTGGTGCTAGGAATATAAACATCTTGTAATTATTACCTTATTAGCAATAATCAACAAGAAAATGAAATAAGTTTCAAATTAAGCTTGAGTAACCCACTAGTTGTACATTATTCTAGTGGATGAGAACACTGAACTAAGTACTTTATATATGTTACCACATTTAAACCTAACACTTCAATGAAGTAAATGTCATTCTTCTATTCTGAGATGTAACACTCAAGCTTGAAGGATAAGTCCCTATCTGTTTGCCTCTTTCATCCATGGTTAAAGCTCTTGCATCAACTATCTATTATTTCCCTATTCTCTGGGAATTACCGACTCTGCCCACAGATGTAGGTTCCAGCTAGTAGTCATTTTTGTGACTCCAACCTCTGGCCACAGCTTACCAGATGAGAGTTGGATACCTGGTCTAGCTGGTCTGATTTTTTCCCCTTAGAATTGGAATTTGGAATCAGAAATGGCTAAGTAATCCTTGCATATTGCTGGAGTGATAACTTGGCAGCTGTGTGGTACCCATTTTCTGTGTTGGCAATTGAGGATGAAAGTACATGGAAATGAGGAAGAATGAAGAACACAGACCCAGGGGGAAATGCAGGGACAGAAAAAGGACACTTCAGTTCTGAGGACTAGTCCCTCTCTGGAATTTGGCTTCCTTCCTTCCCTGGCGTACTCTGAAACAACCCTATATTTCATTATAAATTCCCTTTCCTCATATGGATATGTGGCAGTTTGCAGTAGTAATTCTTGTGATAAATTTTAGAGTTAGGAGATCACAACACATTTTAGAGCTAGTAGAAGCTCCAGAAATTATTTCCTTCTCTCCCTTTATCTTGCAAATGCATAAACTGAACTAAGAGGAAATGCTATTCCAAATGTCATTTAGTTAGCTGGTGGCAAAGTTGAAACCCAATTTCCTTATTTTTTACGAGCTTAGTGTTATTTCTTACATGGCTGGAAATTCATAACATTAACATAATGTACCATGAGACAAATACTGACATTTTTAAATGAGGCAAAAACCTGTTCATACTCTGATACAATTAGCTACTCATATCTATTCACACCAGTTGGTCTCAGTTTCACAAAGAGAATTCCACTTCAGAGGCTGGTGTTATAAACCTGGGAAACATTTTCTCACAAAATAGTGGAATACATGGTGGTTATAGTTCCATGTTGGCCCTTGTAAAACTTAATGCACAACACAACAACTCTGAGGGAATTCTGAGGGAAAACATATGTGTATCAAAAGCTAAAGTGCCAGGAAGTAGCTGGGTGATCAGACAAGTTACTTAATTCTTTAAGCTCAGCTACTTCTTCTAAAAAATATAATTATTTATCTCATGGGATTTCTGGTTTGATAAGAACAATAAAGGTTTACTTCTAATTTCTAAGATACTTGTTATTACAAAAATTTCGAACATGCTGAAAAACCAGTGTAAGAAACACACATATTTCACTACCTAGATTCAATAATTGCTAACATTTCCCCATATTTGCTTTATCTTTTTTTAACCATTTGCAAGTAAGTTGAAAATATCATGATACTTTATTTCTAAATATTTTAGCATGCAGCTCCTAAGAATAATGACATAGTCGCATATAACTTGTGCTGATAATTTTCTCTGTGAAAGGGTAGATAGTGAATGTTTTAGGCCATACAGTGTCTGTTACAATGACTCTACCCTGTAGCTATCCATGGAAACATGCATAGACAATACATAAACAAATGAGCATGATTACATTCGAATAAAACTTTAATTTCAAAAACTGGCATATAGTTATGCTGTATAACGCCGACAATGCTACTACAAATGAGGTTAACAAAAATTCCCTAATATTATCTAACAACCAGTTCATATCCAAATTTTTGCAGCAGTCCCCACATGTCTGTGTTCTTAGTTAACTGGGATCCAATCAAGATTCATATCCTGCATCTAAGACTTCTTTTGAGGGCCTAATGATTCTATTTCTCTATGCTTCCCTAAGCACCAGCTAAGCCCCTGGTGCTTGGGACACCACAGTAACAACTGTATAACTGGTAACTCTGAAAAGTGGGCTATGCGTTGGTATATTTAAATTTTAAAACAACTTAAAAGAGGTTAAGAGCTATTGCACTCTGCTGAAATTTATGTTTCTGCATATATTATGGTAACATCTATCAACTATCGATATATCAATATTTGCTCTATACACTGGCAATATACTACACAAAGTCAACTGTATGTTAACAGCAACATCAAATTAATTAAAAATCAATAAATTCATTAATAAAAACTAGGGTAAGCTTATTTAAAGGTGGTATCTAGTACTCCATTACTTAACATAACTAGAAACAGTCTAGTAACCTAGTACTTACCAATCTAGTAATTTAGTACTCACCTAGAAACAGAACAATCAATAGGACTATAATAGTAAGGAAAGCTTTGTTCCAGAAAGTTGCAATTTTACCCCAGACATTAAATGAAAAAATCTTCTGCCATCTGTAACGCAATACAATTACATTAGGTATAAAAAAATCAAAAGAATGTTTTGAAATATTTTCTAAATACTGAATTAACATTTTGGTAATTATGTAGTGAGTAAAAAGAATTACGGTAGTTTAATTTTTTATGTCATATCAGAGAATTATCAATTCATAAGAAAGTCTCATAAAATAAAGAACAATTTCTTTTAAATTTAATAACCTGACATTTGACTATCTTCTATCTGGTGGTTCAAATATTCTACAGTGAACTAACTTTTAAAGGAAAGATATATGATCAAACTCTTAAAAAGGAATTCTTATAGTAAAATATTATATTGCTGATATAAGCTATCATTTTCTTTCCCCTAATCAGGGTAACAACTCAGAAGTAACAAAGATCTCTTGGTCTAACAATTAGAAACATGTGAGGAGTAGGGGGACGGACACACACACACACACACACACACACACACACACACAGGTAGTAAGTACTTAACTTTAAAAACAACTTAAAAAAAGTTTTTCTTTAAAATTAGGACTAATTATTAACCAACAGGTTTTGAAAACAACTTTAAGTAATGGCTTGAAATTGGTGGGGAGAGGAAGATAGATATAGATGAAGTAGTTTCTTTTGCCTCTATGCTCAATTCCAAGAATACTATTCAAATTTTAAATTGCAAAGATTTTATATTTTTAGAAAGAGAACATAAGTGGTAATACCTTGATCTTGGTCCAAATGTAAATGAACATTTCAAGAGCCAGTATAAAAAGAAAAACAAGAGACCCCCTACAGGGAACAACTACCGGTTTATAATAAGACTCAATTCAAGAAAGAGCTAATGTTAGCTACTATATATTGAATCCTTACTGTACTATCGTTCTAAGCACTTTTACATGTTTTAGCTAATTTAATCACCACAATTACTATATGAGGTGGATAGTAGCATTAGTTCCATTTTACAAATGGGGAAACTGACCAGAGAGTTATTTATCAATAACTTGCCCAAGGTCACACAGTAACATGCAGAGTTGGGATATAAACTCAGGCAGTCTGACCTCTGAGTGTGTCTAACTCGTGGATTACATGAGAACAGAGAGCCAAATGAAATAAAAACTGAAGCCTTTTCTTTGAAGATTATGGCGATACACATAAAAAAGATAAAAAAGATGTGGATATAGAGGTTCCAATTAAGAAGGTGGAGCAGGTAAATAAATGCCTCCTTGCTCTTATGACCACATCAAAATTACAACTAAACTACAGAACAAGATTCTAGCTGAACAGAAGGATATACATAAGAAGCCATCTTGAGACTGAAAGGAGGGGGAGAGACTCGAATGAACTGGTTCCATACCCACATGAGGTGTTAAAAATTGGGAGGGATATCTTGGCTTTGGAGGTCTCCCAAGTACCAAGGGGCCCGAGCCCCAAATCAGTCTCCCAAGCCCAAGGTTCTAGTGTCAGGAAGAGTAGTCCCCACACTTCTGACTGTGAAAACCAGGGAGATTGTGGCTGAGTGAGATCAAGGCTGCTGGAGTCCCAGGCATCCTTCTTAAAGGACCTATGCATGGACTTACTGACAGACGCACTCGCTCTGAACTCCATTGCTGAGACTGTACCTCAAAAGGCATGAGGCACATACAAGGAGGAACTAAACTGTCTGGCTTCAGGGCAAGGGCTAGAGGGGCAGCTCTCTCCCAGACAGAGTACTGACAGAAGTCATTGTTCTTTGGTTGATCCCTCTCCTCTCCCTGCATGCAGACACAGGCAGGCACCATGTCTGAGTCTCCATCAAACTGGCTAACACCAGTTGCCATGCCCTGAGACCATGCCCCACCCCACTTGCAGGACCACTCAAGCCACTTCTAGTGGCTTTTCCATACAAACAGCCTGTCTTGGCTAAGGTTCATAAACCTCAAACAAGCAGCATTAGGCCTCTGCATGCCCCATACCTCTTGCTAAGCAACCCCAAGCCCGGCACTAGCGCCAGCCAGCCTCAGTCGGCAGCTTAGCCTCTCCTAGGCACCTCCAAGCCCAGCACAAGTGGCAACCATCTGTAAGTCACTTTGCAGCTCAAACAAGTTGCCCCAGACAGTGCATAGGCAGTAGCTGACTTTGGTCTGCACCAGAGGCCCTCCCAAGAGGACCTAGGACCAATAAACCTGGTGGCTAGCTTCAGACCACACCAGAGTACCATCCGACCACCTCCACAAATGACACATCCAAAGGGAAAACTGGGCAGGCACCAAAGCCCTGCTAAAACAAATCTTGCTCTATATAGTCAGCCCCCGCACAAGAGTTCCTCCACTGTAGTCACAGCTAGTCCTTACAACCAATCAGTTTGAGGGTCAATCTCTCCCACTGACATGGCAACAGCAACCAAGGCTCAACGACAACAGGAGGGCACACATAATCCACACAAGGTACACAACTGGAGCACCCAGCTCAGGTGACCAAGGAGACTGTGCCATTGGACCCCACAGGACACCTACTACATAAGGCCACTTTACTAAGACCAGGAGACATAACAGCCCTACCTAATATAGAGAAACAAACAGGGAGGCAGCCAAAATGGGGAGACAACAAAACATGCCCCAAATGAAAGACCAGAACAAAGCTCTAGAAAAAAAACAAAAACTCAACGAAATAGAGAAGCAATCTACCCAATGCAGAGTTCAAAACACTGGTTATAAGGACACTCAATGATCTCAGTGAGAACTTCAACAAAGAGATAGGAAACATAAAAATGGAGATAGAAAACATAAAAAAGAACCAGTCAGAAGTGAAGAATATAATAACTGAAATAAAGAACACATTAGAAGGAATCAACAGTAAATTAGATGAAACAGAGAATTCAATCAGTGATTTGGAAAATAATTGCAGAAAATATCCAATTACAACAGCAATAAGAAAAACGAATCCAAAAAAATGAGGAGCGTTTAAGGAACCTCTGGGACAACATCAAGCATACCAATATTTGTATCATAGAAGTACAACAAGAAGAGAGCGAGCAAGGAGTTGAAAACCTATTTGAAGAAATAACAAAAAACTTCCCTAATCTGGCAAAGGAAATAGACATACAAGCCCAAGAAGTGCAGAGAGTCCCAAACAAGTTGAACCCAGAGGCCCACATCAAGACACATTTTAATCATAATTAAAATGCCAAAGGTTAAAGATTAAGAGAAAATCTTAAAAGCAGCAAGAGAAAAACATTTAGTTACCTACAAAGGAGCTCCCATAAGACTGTCAGCTGATTTCTCAACAGAAACTTTGCAGGCCAGAAGACACTGGAACGAAATACTCAGTGATGAAAAGCAAGGACCTACAACCAAGATTACTCTACCTAGCAAAGCTATCATTTAGAATCAAAAGACAGATAAAGAGCTTCCCCAACAAGAAAATGCTAAAGGAGTTCATCACCACCAAACTAGTATTACAAGAAATGTTAAAGAAAATTCTTTAAGAAGAAAAAAAAAGATAAAAAATATGAATACTAAAATGGAAATAACTACATATCAACAATCAATTAATTGTAAATGGATTAAATGCTCTAATCAAAGACATAGGACAGCTGAATAAATAAGAAAACAAGACCCTTACATATGCTGCCTACAAGAGACTCACTTCAGCTCTAAAGACACACACAGACTGAAAGTAAAGGGATAGAAAAAGATATTTCATGAAAATAGAAAGAAACAAACAAAAGCTATATTTATAGCAATATTTATACCAGACAAAACAGACTTTAAAATGAGGGCTATGATAAGATACAAAGAAGGATCCAGTAATCAAACTTTTGGGTATTTACCCAAAGAAACCCAAAGCACTACTTCAAAGAGACATGTGAATCCATATGTTCATTGAAGCATTATTTACTATAGCCAAGATATGGACGCAACCTGGGTGTTCATCAATGGATAAAGAAGTGGTAGTACTTATATACGATAGTATATTTCTCAGCCATAAAAAAAGAATGAAATCTTGCCATCTGCAACAACATGGATGGACCTGGAGGGTGTTGTGTTAAGGAAGTCAGTCAGAGAAAGACAAATGCCATATAATTTCACTTATATGTGAAATCTAAAGAACAAAATAAACTAACAAAATGAAACAGACTCAGATACAGAGAACAAACTGGTGATTGCCAGATGGTTGTGAGTGAGTGTGTGTGTGTGTGTGTGTGTGTGTGTGAAATGGGAAGGAATTAAGAAGCACAAACTGGTAGTTATGAAACAGTCATGGGGTTTAGAGTATAGCATAAGGATTATAGTTAATAATATTGTAACAATTGTGTATGGTGTCAGATGGGTATTTGATTTACTGGAGTGATCAGTTCCTAAGTTATATAGATGTCTAATCACTATGCTGTACACCTAAAATTAATGTTGTATGTCAACTGTAATGGAAAACAACAAAGATGTGGATACATACCATAAGGACATATTGTAAATGATTATATGTACAAATATACCATATTTTCTTATGTATATGAAGGTATATTTATAAAATATGTGTACAGATACACAATCTATCAAATTGCTACATAACAAGGATAGGAAAAAAATTATATTTGACAGGAAGAAAAAGATCCATAATTCATGTATAATTTTGATAGATAAAAGACCAATTGACAAAAATATTTTTGCTTTCAAATTCTTACAAATACTACTTAAAATCTAAATGGTGTTATTAAGGATTTTAAACAAAATCAAGGGGACGAGTGGTAGGGTGATGAAGAACACTAGCTTGAAAGCCGGATTCTTGTCTGGAATCTGGCTGGACTGCCCAGATTACCTAGGGCAAACTACTTACCCTGTAGAATGAGTGGGCTGGATAAAACTATGTTTAAGGCCCCTTCCTATAGTATGGTTCGATTTTTTTCTTTAGTAAGGAAGAAAAAAGTGATGGCATAGCTGATAGTCAAAGACACAAATGAATAGAAATTCAGGTAGGTAAGAAGCAAGTTAAGAGTTGTGAAAGACTACCTGAACCCTGAGCAAAGGTAAAAGCTTTCACAAGTCTTTTCCAGTCATGGGATCTTACCAAACTTCAGTGGGTTATCTCCAGGATTTCGCTAACGCGAGATTTTTTTTTTTTTTTTTTTAATGCCATGAGTATGAACAAATGTATTGCGACATTTTTATTACTAGCGTATTTCACCATTCATACTAGCAAGTTTCTGGATGTAGAACTGAATTCCCAATAAGTGGATTATTACAGGGGTAAAATGAGCCAATGCTTTGATTAAAATACTTGGTACTTAAAGACCTTGTAAGGTCCTTTACTAAGAAACTAATGCTAATGTATGGTTCTGATACTTTTCATATTCAGCACTTTTAACATGTATTCATTGTGTGGGGGAAAAAAGTAGTAAAATTACCATTAAACATTAAACACTAAGCAGTCTAAAGGAGCTACTGATTTATTATTAACAATTGGGAGGTTTCCTACCTCTGAGGAGGAATAAAAGGTAGACAGAAGATTAAAATGAGTCCTATTTCAGCATAAAGAAAGGTTGCAACTGCCGCCCATTGGAGTGTCATTTTTTTCTCTTCACACCTAAATAGAGAAACACTTATTTTACTTTGCTGCCTTTCAAAGAAAACTGATTTAAAGACTCCCGGGGGGCGATTTTCGTTCAGGGGTTTTACAGCGTCCGACCTTCCCCTGACTGGAGGCGCCAGTCGTTAAGCAGGGGCGGGAAGGGGAAGGAAGGAAGGGTGCCGGGGGAGAGGGGGGGTGCGGTCAAGGGTGGGCCAGAGGCGAGTGTCTCCACCTCCCCGGAGAGCCGTGCGCAACTAGCGAGGCGGCCTGCGCGGCGCCAAGGACGTGCTTTTCGGCCAGCTACGCAGCGACAACTCCCCAACGCCAGCCTCCACTAACGCCCGCATCTAGGGACCCTCCCGCTTGGCGAATGCGCAGCGGGCCCTAGACCAACGCCTTGGGGGAAGGGTCTGCTGCCCGAGGCTCAACCGCGGAGAGCGGCGCGACCCCGCGCGGCCTTGCGCTCCACGGCGCCTCGGAGACCGCGGCCGCCCGCGTTCTCTCCCGGTCTTACCCAGTCTGCGGCCCGCCTGGTTCCCGGCGCTGCTCCGCGGCCGCCGACGCGCGGGACGTCAGACGCCACGGCGGGGGGAGGGGAGGGAGGTGGGGAAGAGTGCCCCACCCCCACCGGCTTCCCACTCCGCTAAGTGTGTTGGTCCTCGCGGGTGTCGTAGGCGGTGCTAATACATCGATTAAAAATAACTGTCTTCTACTTATAATATGGTAATGGAATTAGATGACTCAGACTTTTCGACCCGATTCTTGTGGCCCCCCAAGTGCAGTTTCTTGAGTAGAGCTGACTTTATATTTCTGAATAAAGTGGTTTGGATGGGAGAGGTATCGGTAACCGACGTTTTCTGGTAGAGCTTCGTGGGGTGCAGGCAGAAGGAAATGCGCTAGGGTCGGAGGGTTAGATAAGGTGATACAAATTCAGTAAACGTATTTGAAACGCACTCCTTTCCTGTTCCGGCAGTTTTATGGGAGAAACGGTTTCATTGTCGGCAAATAAATTTAGAAGGGCCAGGATTGGGTAGTTGTGCAACGTTTTTCTTCTGAGACTAGAATATGTAGTCAAAACATACTCTAAGTTTTTCTGCTCTTGTCCATGGACTGGGAAGAAGCTTTAGCGTGACGTTTGGGGACTGACAGGGAAGGAAACATTGTGGGTATGGGTATATTGTTTCAATTACTATTTTCCAGGTTTTCAAATTCTGTGAACATACGAAAATTACTAAATATTTATATTTTCAACATTGACAACATGAGGAATGCAAAACAGTATCTTCCTGGAGACAATTATTTTGGGAACATTAAACATGAAAAAGAAATAATTTATAGAATATAAAAACATTGAAGTCGGTGCTTTTTCTTATCACAAATATACTTGATCATATCTAAAAGAAAAAGACAACATAAGTTAACCATAAGGATATGGTCATAAAAACATTTAAGTCGGTGCTTTTTCTTAGCACAAATATACTTGATCATGTCTAAAAGAAAAAGACAACATAACCATAAGGAAGTTTTTTAAACAAACAACACGTTTAGAACTCTTTGCCTTTCCACAATGGTCCCTTTGAAAGACTTACTCTAATTATGCTGTTGTCAACACTAGTGTAATTCACCTCAGAGATAACTTACAAACCTAAGACGTAATGACGACTTAAGTTTTGTCGATGGCCCCCTATTGTAACTACTGATGTCAAATGAAAAAGCCAGTTATCTTTAAAACTACATTAATTGAAAAATGAAAGCAGAGATGTGCCTAAGAAAAAAAATATGGCAACATGGTGCTTATGTTAAAATTAATTCATTTAACATTCCCAAACTCGAATTAAGCAGTTTTAGACAACTGGCTCCTTTTATAACAGTTTTCATGTTGGTAACATAGACCAATATCTTAATTATGGAACATTTATTTTAACTTGATATTTAATTTTTGCAGTGACACATTCACTAATAACAAAATTCTATTAGTACATTCCCAACCATGGAATTTTAAGTTAAAATTATTAACTGCTGAGAGGCATAAAAATAACATCAATAAAAACAGCATGAAAATTGTTTTTTTGAATTAAAAATAAAATCTGGTTACTACTTTCCAGGAAATAATATTTCATATAAATCATCTTCAGATTAGCTACCAAATTTTTTATACTTAAAATGTGGTGGAGTGAAATTAATTTTATCATTTTAGGTAGTTATATTTACCAAGCTCTCAATCTTCAAGGGATCTGGAAGGCTTGAAATATAACAAATTTAATGTCAGTTAAAGAGTTTCATGGAACTTAAGTTTTAAATTATAAAAAAATCCTATCTAATTAAATTTAGCTACCTCCAATTTAAAACAAATACCTTGAGGTGTGTAATTCATGAATTAGGAAGTACCAGTTTGATTTTCCAATCTGAACTTTAAAGTTTTGAATGCAATTCTATACAGAATTTCTTGTTCCTTTTCATTTTATGTAGAGGTTGGCATGTGTTGTCACTTCACTGCACTTATTTTCATTAAAAACAAACTTCATGTTAACTTGCAGATACTATATGAGTCATACTTTTAGTATTAAAATAAAAACTTTTATTTAAAAATGTTAACACAGTTCCTTTGAAGTATACATTAAAATAACTTACGAAGTCCAGTCAAATCCCATAATGGTCTGTAAGGTAATCTAAAACAGCAGATGTGCTTGATAAAGCATTAAATACTCTTTTTTCCTGCCTTGAAGTTATCTTTTCCATCATGTACATTAAATGTTGATGGAAACACATATAAGGAGTTCCAAGTTCAAGAGCAATGTCAACCCAGTCCCAGATGCATTTTAGTGGGGTTTCCTCATATCCAGCAAACATGGCCGGGTTTGCTAAGAGTCCTCTTGCTACCATCACACCTACAGAGTAAAGCATATCACATTTGTCCACACGTTAAGAACTCATAAAGTCAAACTCAATGAAACAAACAGATACTAAAAAAAAAAAACTATTATAACAAAGTTTCACGCTGCCCTTTTATTAGTCTGTTTAATTCAATTATAAAACTATTTTGAAATATCTTTTTGTAAACCAAGAAAGTTTATATGTACTTACGGGTATTCTTTATTTAGACTTCTATGTGAAACAATTAGTCTTTAGGCTCTTTTTAAAGGGTAAATCCAGGTTGTTATAAATTGGACTTGCTTAATGTTAAGTTTATCTGCATTCTCCCATCTACCAATAGGTATCACAGGACTTGGTATGCCATTAATTTAAGGCAATAATGAAATCGCATAGCAGTCTGGGTTCCTCTGGTTCCTATGACTAATCGTGTTCACTCGCAATTCTAGTCTAGGTGTTCTATTTTACTAATAGGCTATCTGGGAGATTCTTAACTAGTCACTCACTGGATATGATGGTGTCAGAAAACTAACTGACTTAATGTACCACAATTAAAATAACTTATTGTTTCTAAATAGAAGAGTTAACAGCATTTTAATGAATTGCTTAGCTTCAATCAGTACAAGAAAATATAGCTCTAATTTAAGGAAAATAATGAAAAATCATATCAAAATTACTATCCCACTCCCATTTTTTTTTTGCTAGTTAAAAAACTCAGGTACTTATTTCTTACCATCTGTCCCAGTAATATGACACACATTTTGTGCTTCTTTTAAGCTTCTAATGTCTCCATTAGCAATAACAGGTATAGACATATTTTCCTTAATTATTTTAATGGCCTCATAGTGAACTGGCTGATGTCTTTCTTCAGCAGTTCTTCCATGGACTGTAACCCAGGAAACTCCTGTTGCTTCAGCCTTTCGACAAAGATCTACGGTTCTTGTAAGGTCATCATGGATCCTATAATTTCAAAATTATATCCATCTTTTCAAAGCACACAAATCAATGCTAAAATTAATAAAACTAAAGTATTTCCTATAAAACAGTTAGTTTTGCTATATCATTACATGCCACTATCATTTAAGATTTTAAATTTTGCTATTTCATGAGTAGCAACAATGGATGACAAGTTTTATCTTACCTAGTGCTCCTCTCCTTTGGCTTTTGTAACTGAAAAATCATCCAATTACTGTCACACATGAACAGAAAGATGCTATCCTAATATTTGCTGTCCATATCACAACCACCAAGTGAGAAAATACTTTATTTTGAAATATGTTTTTATCCTGTCACCACGAAAACAATTCCTGGTTTATTTTCATTGTGAAATTTTAGTGTAAATACCATTTTCATTTTCCACTCTTGGTACCAGGAATGTTTCTTAGCGTTAATTTAGTACATGGAGAAAGTTGAGAGTTTCTTTTTGGGGAAAGTTTTTAATAATAAAGGGATGTTTTTAATTTCTGTTAGAAAATACAAAGAGTTAGTTTTGATTATAAATAAAAATTATGGCATATACTCATTTATTAATTGTTGTTTCAACATTTCCATATACCAGCTATAAATTTATTAAGGATAGATAACCCCATAGCACCAGACAAAAGGAATATGCTTTTTATTTCCTAAGAACTATCTTGTCAATAGATTAAAATGTTGTCTTTACCTTATTTTAATAGATACTGAAAATCTGGGATTTTCCACTTGATTTCTTACTTGTTTCACCATATCTTGAACAAGTTCTGGCTTGTTTACTAAGCAAGCTCCATAACCTTCTGCCATTGCCCACCTTTATAAAGCAAACACAACAAATAAACTGTAAATAGCTGGAAGAGAAAATAAATTTATAAAAGCACTATAAGTGCATCTATCTATTTATCTATCTAGCGATCTGGAATGAAATCAGATTTTTACAATTCCCAGATCCAACACTTCTAAGTGGATCAATGTGAAATTAGGAAAACATGTTCCCAGCTCAAAAAGGGCTTAGGGGAAATGCTTTTCTTTGGCAAGTGAGACAATTAAATTAAAATTCATTCAACCAAAACAGATTTAAGTATTTGTAATTAACTGCAATTTTTCAGATTTTTTGAATTCCAAATTTGATGTTTATTGTACATAACGAGGTTTTATTAGTCTTAATAGTAGAGAGATAGTTTTGGCTTACAGCATGCCAACACTACTAAACAGCTTATTTAACTCACTTAATGGGTATACAAATATGTCTAATCTGATTTGGATTACTTAAAACTTTGATTTTATTCTTTGGACACACTTTGAATTACTGTCAGATAATCGAGTACAGTGCTAGAAAGGTAGGGATATTATTGTCAAATTAAGTGCATCCTATCAGTACCCCATTACTTAGAATCAACCAAATAACTGTGGTGATGAAAAAAAAGATAATTATAAGGAAGTATTCTTATAAAGAAAATTAGGAGAGCATAAGTGGTGATCTCTCAAATCACAGAATCATAGTTTCTAGAGCAAATATGTCTAACATGACAGTAAAAATACATTCTTGGGATTGCTATAAACATTAGTGTCTCACATAACTACTTATGGATGAGAGTCAAGGCAGATCCACATATTAAAAAAATTCGAGAGGTGAGGTGAGACAAAACACTTTTAGTCATTGGGAAATGCTTTTGTATGTATGTTCCTTAGTAATCTTTCCTTTTCTTGCTTCTTATATAAAGGCCAAGTGCTTTAACTATATTTTCCTTACTTTTTAATTCTTGGTAATGTTCACTAGTTTTTCTAATCTTTTTTGAAAATTCTTTCAACTTCTTTGAGCTTTACCTCTGAGGGCAACCACAGTTAATGTCTATTCCATTCGCATAAGGACAGACTATACGAGCAGCATCAGATAAAAGTCTTGCATCATTAGCAGCAAACTGAACAATCAATGGGCAATCACCTGATAAAATGAATAGCTCAACATTAAAATTCACAGAAACACACACAGACATACACAGACACTCACATGAGATACCAAACTGTTTGTACATGATAAATAACAACTGTTCAAACAAGGTAGTAATAACATAATTTTAAATATTTTAAGTTAAAAGGAATTTACATTAAGTACAAATTCAAACAGTATAAAATTTACTAAAATGAAAAGTATTATATTCTTGACAAACAGATCCCTTTTCCAAAGGTGAGCATTAGTTTATTGTATTCCAGAATAATTTTATGTATACCTGTAAAAGTTAAACAAATGTAAACATTCTATGTACACTGCTATGCCTACTCTTTTTTTTTATGTGATATATCTGGGAGCTATAGTTAGACCTATTTTCTTCTTTTTAGTGGCATATTCTACTATATAGATGAACCACACAGTGTACTTCTAGAATTCTTTTCATCTGTGGCTCTTGCAAGCAATGTGATGAGGATACTCTTACATACATGCTTTTGTGAGTATATTCATGGGTTAAATTCCTAAGAGTGTAACTATTGGATAGGTAGCTAATATTCTGATATTACAAAAATTTCTTTGAAAAGAGTTCACCAGTATAGATATACACCAATATGGATGAAAGTTCTTGTTTTCTCATAACTTATCCTACATTGGATATCCAACAGTGTATATTTTTATTCGTGGGCTCACTCTCCAAATTCTTTACATTTTCTATGCACAATTTTTCTTTTACTTGTTCCTTTTCTTATTTAATTTTTTAATGAAACAATGAAATGAATTCTGCTATATATCATAACTATCAAAAATATTATAAATATTTTTCCCAGTTTGGGTTTGTCTCTGTGCTCTTTTCTTACATATAAAAGTTTAAATTTTAATATAACCAAATGTATCAGAGCTTTCCTAGGTTTTAAAGGACATATTTTTTTCATCTTTGGGTTAGTGTTATAAACTCTGGATAAATGTTTTTAAATTTTTCTAAAGGTTTTTTTGAGGACTACCTATATGAGATTTACTGGGTGTCTGCCAAAATGCAGATTTCTGGGTACCACCCTAGTTCCACTGATTCAGAATTTTGATGGCAATCCCTGATTTACAGTATTATCACGGGATAGAATCTGCTTTTTTCTGAGGACATAGGGTACTTTCTCTTTTGTAACTCGAGAGTTACAGAATTTCAATTTAACAATCATTCATTGGTCTAATGTATTTTTAACACTGCTAGAAGCTGATACAAATCAGTAAGAAATAGTTCTAGCCCTTGACAAGCCCATAGTCTAGTGGGAGAGACAAGTATATAAAGAGGTAATTACAACACAGTAGGATTAAATACAACATAAAGCCTGTGCTTCAAAGAAAGGACATGAGTGGATGGTGGTTAGGAAAGTACTTTGGCCACAAAATCTGAGAACTGGATTAAGAAGCATAAAGTGTCGTTTATCCAGAGAGAATAGGGACATAGGAAATAGGTATGGCTGAGAAAGATATTCTAGGTAGAGAAATGTGAGAGAATAGGGCATGTTCGGGGACTTAAAATAACTTACTATATGTAAAGAATGACGTCAGTGGGCTGTGGAGAGTAACTAATGGAAGACAAAGTTGCAGAAGATGTATTTGGAGGCTAAATCATGAAGAATGTTATATGTTATTCACAGGTGCTGGAATTTTGCTGTTTAGGCCAGTCATTTCTCAATCTTTAGCAAGCTCAGAATCATCTAGAGGGCTTTTTAAAACAGATTGCTGGACCACGTACTGAGAGTCTCTGAGTAGGCCTGGAGTGGAGCCTGGGAATTTCCATTTCTATCACATTTCCAGATGATGTTGATGCTGCTGGTCTGGGGAATCACACTTTGAGAATCACTGCTTTTAGGTCTAAGAGATGTGATCAAATTTACATTTTGGAAAGATCACTTTGGGCTGTTTGGAGGATAGTTTGGAATGAGACAAAACTGGGGGCAGTGAGATAGGACTCTAATAGTCTGTGTGAGAGAATGGAGGCCCTAAGGAAGACTGACCTTATATTTTGTATGTCATCCATAGTTCCAAGGCACTGAATAAAAATATATTTAAAAAGACATTGCAAACGAATAAAAAAAACGAAAAGATTTTAAAATAAAATCTTGGCAGTGTATTGTCTCATTGGATAAGATAGTTTTGTTTTATTTTCTAAGTTTTACAAAGTGAGCAAACTCTAGGTTTCACATACCTTGGTTTGTGGTAAATTCACTGTCTCTGGCTTTTATAGATCTGACAAAATCAGCAGCAACTATCATTGGTGTATAGCACAGATCACAACTGTACTTTCTTACTAGTGTTCTAAAAGCCAATCTGTAAGCATATAAAACTTTAGTTAGGCATTTTAAATCACCACAATCATATGTACTTCCAGGTTTAATTTAGCTAATTATTAAAAACTTATTAAAGTTCTGCCTATAGGAAGATGGAGGAGATGTACTTTTCCCTATTCTTCCAGCTTAACTAAAAACTCTGGATATTATATGTAAAACGTAAGAAAACTCTGAAAGGCAGAGAAGAAAGCAGCAGGCTAGTGATGTCAGGACCTGAGGAAAGATAATGTTGAGTTTCTTGGGTTTCTTTTCGCCTCAAATATCCCAGGTATGGAGCTGGCAACCTGGAAATACCAATAGTTGTAGACAAAAACAGCCCTAACCAAAGTCTGTTCTTCCTAACTAAAGGACCCAGAAAAGGGAAGCCTAACAAGAGAGAAAACTCTTTAGATAACAATGGCTCTACTCAGGCCAAACACCAGAGAGAAAACTGTGGCTCTGCCTTCATAAGAAAAAGTTGAGTGTGGAGCCTAGACTTCTACCTTCTCAAGGCTATAACAAGGTCTCTAACATCCTTCCAAAGTAGTATCAGAAAAGGCCAGGTAGGTGGCTGGGGCTATACTCTCTGCTGATCAGTAACAAGGCACACCTCAGTGGTATCTGTGCCAGCCACATGGGGAGTCTGGACTTCCACACATCCCCAGGAGTAGTGAGGTGCCCTTCTCTTTCCTCAATGGGAGTAGTATTAGGGCATGCTTCCTGAAGAGCCAGGACTAGACCACCCCTCCGTGAGGAGCTGTAACTGTCACCCCTGCTCAGCAGTAATGAGCTCCCTGCCCTCAGAGTGTCAAAAAAGATCAAGTGAGGAACCTAGACTTCTACCTCCACCTGATAGGAATGATGTGGTGCCTTCTCATCCTTCTGCTGTGGTGGTGTCAGAAAAAAAAAAACAAAAAACAGTTAATAAGAAGGTTCAATAGTCAGAATCAATGTAATCCACCATATTAATAGGCTAAAGAAAAAAAATCATTTATCAATTGATGCAGAAAAAGCATTTGACAAAACAATACTCATCCATGATATTTTAAAAAGAAAAAAAAAATCCCTCTCAGAAAAACAGGAATAGAGGGGAACTCTCTCAGCTTGAGAAAGAGCATGATAAAAAAAAAATCCCACAGCTAACATTATATTAAAGATAAAAGATAGACCACTTTCTCCCTAGATCAAGAACAAGGAAAGATGTCTGCTGTCATCATTCTTATTCAATATAGCCCTGGAACTTCTAGTCAGTGTTATAAGGCATGAAAAGGAAACAAAAGACATATGATGGAAAGGAAAAAATAAAACTGTCCTTATTTGCAGATGACATGATAGTCTACATAGATAATCCTAAGGAATTTATCAAAAAAATTCTCCTAAAATCAAAAAATGAGTTCAAGAAGTTTGACATATGAAAATCAATTTTATTTCTATATGCCAGCAATAAACACATACATACTGAAATTAAAAGTATAAATCTATTTACAATCACTCAAAAGAGAAATAATTGAATTTAAGTTTTACAAAACACACACAGAACTCACTCTGAAAACTATACAATACTGATGAGAGAAATCAAACAAGATCTAAAAAACATGGAAAGACACTGTTTATGAGTTGGGTGACTCAGAATAGTAAGGAATTCAATTATATTCAAGTTGATATGCATATTTAATACAATTCTTATGAAAATTCCAGCAAGATGTTTTGCAGATATAGACTCTCATACTAGTTTATTTGGAATGGCAAATGAACTAGAATAGCTAAAACAATTTTGAAAAAGAAAAAGTGGGAGAACTCAGTTTACCTGATTTCAAGGTTATATAGCTAGCTTTAGAAATCAAGACTGTGTGGTATTGGTGGAGGGATAGACACAAAGATCAATGGAACAAAATAGAGAATCCAGATGACGAGCCATACAAACATGCCCAATTGACTTTTGACAAAGATGAAAAAGTAATTCAAAAGTGAAAAGATAGCCTTTTCCACAAATGGTGAATAAATTAGACATCCATAGGCAAAAAAAAAGAACTTTAAGCCTTGCACTTATACAAAAAATAACTCAAAACTGATCATGGTCTTAAATGCAAAACATAAAGTTATGACTTTAAGAGAAAAAATAGAAAATTTTTAGACTCTAGAGCTGCACAAACATTTCTTACACTTGACACCAAAAGCACAATTTACAAAATAAAAAATTAATGAATTAGACTTCATCAATAAATAAAAACTTTTGCTGTGCAAAAGTCCATTCGTTAAGAGGATAAAAAGGTAAGGTACATACTGGGAGAAAATATTTGCAAACCACACATTTGAGAAAAGAGTGGTAACTAGAATATGTAGAGAACCCTTAAATCTCAATAGTAAATATATACAAATGGCCAATAAGCACATGAAAAGATGTTTGACATAACTAGGGAAATATAAAACCACAGTGAGATACCAGTTCACATCCATTAGAATGGCTAAAATAAAAAAGAAACAAAGAACAAAAACATGTATTGGTGAGGATGTTAAGAAATCAGAATCCTTGTGCACTGCTGATGGGAATGTAAATTGGTGTAGCCACCATGAAAAACAATATGGAAGTTCCTCAAAAAAATAAAAATAGAATTGCCATATGATCCAGCAATTCCATTTCTGGGCATATAACCAAAAGCAGGGTCTCAAGATATTTATACATCCACATTCACAGCAGCATTACTCACAACAGCCAAAAGATGGAAGCGACTCATGTGTTCGTCAACTGACAAATGAATAAAGAAAATGTGGTATATATACATACGGTGAAATATCATTCAGCCTTAAAAAGGAAATTATGATAAATGCTACAACATGGATGAACCTCAAGGATATGTTACATGAAATAAGCGAGTTCCCCAAACATACATATTGTATGATTCCACTTATATAAAGTATTGAGACTAGTCAAATTCGTAGAGGAACAAAGTAGAATGGTGGTTGCCAGGAGCTGGGGGGAACAGGGAATATGGAGTTTAATGGGTATAAAGTTTCAGTTTTGTAAGATGAAAAGAGACTGAACGTACAACAATATGAATGTATTTAACATAACTGAATTATACACTTGAAATGTTTTAAAAGTAAATTTTAAGTTGTGTGTATTTTACAATTGAAAAAATTTAAAAACCAACTTAATAGTAAAAGAGCAAACAATCCAATTAGAATATTAGCAAAAGACATAAATATTTCTTCAACAGCATGCAAATGGCAAATAAGCACATGAGAGGATGTTCGATATTACTAGCCATAAAGTAATGGAAATCCATGAGGAGATATTGCTGCAAACCTATGAGAACAGCTAAAATAACAAAACAGTGACATTGTGAAAAGTTGGTGAGGAGGAAGAGAAACTAGATCCCTCAAACATTGTTGGCGGGAGCATAAAAATGTACAGCCAATCTGAAAGTTGGGCAGTTTCTTAAAACTAAACATATAACTACAATATGACCCAGCAATGGCAGTCTTGGGGATTTGTCCTCTGCATGAATGCTTATATTTATTTAATACCCATTATATCTTTATAGGTGGGAGTTGTAAGCACTACCATTTTTATAGATATAAAAAGTAAAGCTTGGAGAGGTTCATTGTTTAATCAGGGTCACACACATGTCAGGCAAGTGGTAATACCAGGACATAAGCCTAAATAGTGATCCCAAAGTTAAGTGTGTCTGAAGATCCCATGTGGTTGAGGTAGTCTTATTTTTAAAAAGTCAGAGCATAAAAAGGAAATCACATCTTAGTTCGTTAACCATTTAACAATACTTACTTTGAATATCTAACCATTGGAGCACAGACTTTAACCAGATGCCCAGAATGAAACATTTCTATTGGATCTTTTTTTCTTTCTTGACATATTGTGGTTTGTATGCAGTCCTTCTTCATGAATATAGATTCGTTTCAAATCTGAAAAAGACAATCAGTTTGCACAGAGAAATTTACTTTCATTAGATAAATTCCCATCATTCTAACAATTTCGATTGCCAAGAATATATATTTTTCATCAAACTGTGGGCTCAGGAATCTTTTCAGCTTCTTTTCACAGTATCAAATAGGCTACAACAGAATTCTACCTCTATTTATATGGCACTGATAGTTTTTAGCATAGTGGGAAATTATGTTTAAGTTCTATACAAATTATACTTGTTCGAGTCAACCACTAACCGTTTCAAATTCTATACTTAACTCATTATAGCAACATTTTCTGCTCAAATTAATAAATGCTCAAGATGTGGAAAACTACAAGATTTTTTCATAGTATACCATGTTATGATTTTTCATGTTACTTTTTAATTTTTCCATGTTACTTTGTTTGGCAATGATAAACCAGGAAATTTGATCGGAATCATATTGTATATCATACTGTGTACGCCTGGCACTTTGAAATACCTTGTTTTATCCAGGAAAGTTAAATGGCATTAATTGAATAACTTTAGTTAGTAGTAAGCATTTCCAAAAATATAATAGTATATTTTCTCAACTTCTATTCCTTGTACCTAAATCAGAAGGCAAAAAAAACCTTTATTATTTTAAAAAATTTAAATGTAGTATTATCTAGTGAAAATTTCAATTATAATTATGTAATTGCATAGTAAATCGCTTTTATATCCAAAGAGGTACAAATGATTAAACTAGGTAGTTTATAGTATTTTATAATTGCTATACTTAAAATCCTGTCATTTCACAGTGTTAGCTACTTTCCACATTCCAACTTTTGGTCTTAGAAACATATATGAGCTAACTTTAGAAAGGTTTAATTGCTCAACATGCAATTTTTTTAAAATGTGGCTCATCCTGAAAGTACTGATATAACCTAAATAAAAACAATAATTTTAATTTCCGTAGGTAGAATGTGCAGTTAGAATAAGATAAACTAGTTTTACTAATAATAACTGTTCAATGAATCCAACTTAAGAAAAATTTAGACAAAGTTATTAGCATTTTATCTTTTCTAATAAAAATTAGAACAATGTTATGCCACATACGTAAAGGACAAAAGGGCAGTTCTCTTTCATGAGTCAAACCTGTTTGTTCTCTCTTGCATTTCATATCCTGGTTATGCTGTTACCATCCACCTATACTCTCTCAAGTCAGAAACCTGGGGTTTCCTCCACTTCTCCATCTCCCACAAGTGTACCATGTGGTACCTTTAATTAAATCTTGAGTACATCTTCATTGTCCCACATTCTATGTGCACACTCATAATTTCCAATTTTGACTTCCAGTCTTCTCTGAATCCTAGATAGAGTTGATCTTACTTACCCACTACACCCATTCCTCGGTTATCATGTGCATTTGCACTTACTTTCATAGAGCATAATAACAACACATGTCTGTCTCTTCATGAGTTTTTGAGGGCATGGACATGTATTTATTCATTCAACAAACATAAGTTCCTGCTACATGTTGGAAATACAGGCGAAAATACATTTCCTATGTCCTTAAAAATGTATTAGAGTTAGATATAATTACGTAAAATAATAGCTCTAATACACACACACACACACACACACACACAAATTTAACCATTGTGGAAATAACTGTCTAGAGAAGTGAGAGAAGTCACTAACAATGAAGGAAAGAAAGCTTGAGCTGACACTGCATGGGAGATGGGAGAGTATACATTTGCAGAGAACACATATAAAACCATAGAGGCTTGAAAGTGCTTGATGTTTTCAGTGACTCATTAATGTTGCTTGAGTTGTAACCGGACTAGAGAGGGAATAAGAGGGCCTAGATAGTAATGGGCCTTATATACCAAGATTTTTTAGATTTTGTAATGTATGGCCTTGGTTCTTAACCATTTTTTCCTCTCAGTAGGTGAATTTCACATATGCACACAACTTGCTAACATATGTACATGACATACTTCCATGGGTATACCAGATATTTTTGTACAGGCTGTATGTCTCACTTTGTATAGTTTTAACTGAAAAATTTTAGCATAGAAATGACATGATCAGATTTCTGATTTAGAAAGATTTCACTGGAGGGAGCAGGCCTGTTGGCAAAATATCAGTAAAGAGACAATTGTTGTGTACCAGGCCATGTATAATGAGCATCTGGCCCAGGATTTGGGGAGTGAAAACAGCAATAAAAGAATACATTTAGAAATAAAAATAAACTGGTAAGATATTTAGGAGGTGGAAATCACTTCATGACAGTGCATGCTATGTAGGAAGAAAGAATTCTAGGATGACATTATACTTTTGGCTTTAGGGACTGGATGGATGGAAATTCCAATCAATGAAATAGAGAACCAGAGTAGGGATAGGTTTTGGCAGGGGATCACATTTGGGTACACTGAATTTGAGGTGCTCATGGGATTTCCAGATGGCAATGCCTATGACTGTTTATAAAGATACAGTGCTCAGGAAAAAGCTAGAGCTATATATTGTACCTTTCACTTTTAGATAAATTGAAACTAAAACATGGGCAAAGTACTTAAGAATGCCTTATCTTGCAAGAAATCCTTCCAGAACACTAACATTTAAGTAAAAGATAAAAAGAATGCAAAGGAGACAGAAGTGACCTCTGGAGCTGGGAATAAGAAACCTGGAGTGACATTCAAAAACCAAGAGAGGGGAGAGTATTAGGAAGGAGGGATGAGATATGCCTCTTAAACATCACAGAAAAGTTAAGTAAGGTAAAGACTAAAAAGTGTGCAATGGTAAGGTCATCAGTGACTGTACCAAGAACAATTTCATTCTTATTCATCCTTGCAATTTTGCTGAATGAATACATAAGTCATTAATTCTCAACCATGGTTGTAGATAAGAATGATATGGGGAGCTTTTAAGAATTAGGATACCTAAATCATATCCCAGAGCAACCGAATGTGAATCTCTGGATTTTTAAAGGTCTCCAGGTGATTTCAGTGTACAGCTAAGCTTGGGAAAAATAAATTCATATATTCTAAAGCACCTGGTACAAATGTATGATTAAATGGATGTATATATTACCTATTAGGTCCTTTGGGATAAGTTATGGATTGAGTCTAAACTCATGCTGGTATGTATAGTACAGTATCAAAAGTCTTCATTAACTAAACGAATATTATGCAACTTTCCTAGAATCGTCTAACGTAAAAGCCAAAAAAAGACCACATATTTCAAAGATATCCTTATTAACATTTAAGATTTAAAATTTTGTGTATTATGGATTATGAACCCAAATCTGGGTCTGAGTACGCTGCCCTTGGTAATTCATGTGACCTCCATTCAGAAACATCAATCCTATTCACATTGTGATTGAGATCAAATTATGCTAAGGAAAAACCTGATACAAAGAGAAAGCATAATACAGTGTGTCATGAAACTTGCTCACCTAAGTTGCTATAAGTATTAAATCCATTTAGATTTATAAAGTACTTAGAAAAGAGTTTGGCACAGGTTAAGTACTATTACAGCATCTCTTGAAACAGTCTTAGCAGAATCAAGAGAATCAGGAAACTCTGAATTGGAAAAAAAATGGCTTTCTGTGTACATAAAGGAAGAGTTGCATTACTTTTTATGAAGAAATGCTTACATTAACTTCTTGCATACGTGTGATTGTCGATTTATTAGTATTTATTTTGGGAGAAATCTAGGTGAATGAATAATGCAGCTGTAGCAGCGGAGAAGATGACAGGAACTAACTTGATTTTACAGCTCAACGCTGTTAGTTGATATATGGAAAATCCATCAGATTGTAATATGAAAAAGTTTGGCATCATTCATAGCATGTAGCTGAAAGTGAGAGAAAGTAGAAAAATAGGTCCAGATCTCCTGGGAGGCCGGAGACTGAGTCCACTTGTATTTTCCTGGTGCAGTCTTCCTTCTTCATCGACCCTTCGGCTCTCCCTAATTCTCACGCTCTTCATTCCCGGCAACTTTCCTTCCCAAGCCTATCTCGCCTGTTTTTACCCCAGAATTGCAAACCAAGGCGTGTAGCAGAGAAAGTTGGGTAACTATTAACTCCCGCCAGCTGTGCTTGTAGAGACCAGCCAAGTTCCCAGAAACCCCCGCTCTTCTCTCCGGCCTCCACCGAGAATCCCTTCTTAGGTTAAATACTTGCTTTAGCGATAATCGCTGCGGCCACGTTCCGGCGCCCACTTTCTTTTAGGCCAGGGGAACAACACCAGCCACAGCGGCGCGGCGGGACACAGCTGAAAGCGCCGGCCCCGCGGATTCGGCTTCCTGGGTGCGCTGGGCCCTCGGCGCCCGCCTACTCCAGGACCCACGCGAATCCCAGCCACGTTCAGCCAGGCTTCAGCTGACTAAGCCGACTCACCAGGCGGCCAGGGTGGGCGGAGCGGAGCGTGCAGCGCTGGGATTTTGCGTCACCCTCTGGGCAGGGCCGCCGCTGACGTCATCACCCCGGCACCTGCCAACATGGAAGGTGGAGACGGCGGAATCGCTGTGGCTGGCCATGGCACTCTGGGCTCTGGGGCGGCTGCGGCGACAGTAAGGGAGCTTCTGCAGGACGGTAAGGAGTCGGGGTGGGTCGGGTCATCGGGTTTGCGGGCTGTCCTCCTCCGCACCTGGGCCCTGGTGGTGGACTCAACCCGTCTCTTTGCAGAAAGTTTTCCGGTCTCGACGTGACCACTCCCCTCCGCCCGGCCCCCTGGCTTCTGGGTGCTGGCCTCCTGATTTTCCTGGGACACCTGATTTCTGATTGCTCCTCTTTTTTTAATTCTACCCTCCACACACACACTTGGGGTTTCCATGAAGTCCTGGGACCTCGCACCCGGTGACCTCCGTTGGCAGCTACTGGCTGCCGCCGCAGTTCTTGACGAAAAGGCGAAGCATTCAAGTCTTACACGAAAGGTGTAAGACTTAGAACAGACGACAGATACTTGATGAAAGAGGGCCTTAGTTTTAAAAAGAGGTGGGAAAATTTCCTCTTAAATTCTTGGTGTGTACAAGTGGCCCCACTTGCAAGCTCGTTTGTTTCTTAGCAAGGCGTTTTATCCACAACCATACACGAAGGAAGGGTGTAGAGCATTCTTTCAGGCTGGGATTAACCATATGTATTGAATATAGCACGTTTATTGATAGTTTTGGGTAGAAATTGCTAGAAAGTAGAAGATAAGCTAAATATAATACGTTTGAGAAGCTCATTAAATTGTATCAATTCAGTTAATAAGCCCCGAATCTGTCTTTCAGACTAAAGTTTACATTTCTGAGACCCTTCTCATCTGTTCTTAATTTTTTTCCCGAGGTGTCATTACGTTATACTTTGTATTAAAGTATTTTGATAATCTTTCTACTGCATTGTTCCACAGTGTTAGTAACGTTACCTTCCATATAGTAGGTGCAGAATGTTTTTTAATTGAACATCACAGTGAGAAGCATATGCACACATTTGCAGACTAAAGTAGGTTATAAAGGAATGAAATAAAGTTGTAAATTGTTTGACTGTTGTATATCTTATTATTGCCTTTCATAATTTATATACTTTTGTCAAAACTTGCTAATGATGTTGTTGTTCTGAACTAGATTATGTTCGATTCTCCAGGTTAAGATCTCTGTCTAGTGCATCTTTGTATTTTAATTTAAATTCCATTTAAGCAAGTTTTGAGCTCCTGGTATATGTGCAAGTCCCACCTTAAAGCAGCTCACCATTTTAGTAGGGGAGATGGTCTTGTAGAGCTGTAAAGGTAGGCACTTAATGTAGGCCTGTAAGGGTAGCAGTAGAATTGTGTACAAGGTAAAACAATACAGAGGAGGGAGTATCAGGAAAGTCTAGATAGAACTGGTTTTGGAGTGTAAATAGAACTTTCTCAGGTTAAGAAGTGGAAGAAACAACACATGCCAGACATGGGTATACAGTTCAGTAGAATGCAATCCAGGAACTGTAATCAGTTTTTGGAGGGTGACTATTCCTCAATTCTGCATTCTGTATTTCTGCTTTCCCATTTTCCACAGCGATTATTTAAATCTTTACGCATTTCAGACCTCTCCCTTCAAGCTTAACAAATGACTTTCCACTTTTCTCTAAAAAAAGAAAAAAAAATCCATCAGGTGTGAGCTTTCTCCATTTCTTGCCATCAAACCTAAGCTAAAGCTGAACTTGCAACCATCCTTTCTTCCCTTTTTCTCTCATATTTTCAATTACAACATAAGTGGAGTCTCTGCTCCTTCCTAAGGACAGTCTCTCCACTTGGGCTCTGGAATTTCTTCCTGTATTCTCAAGGACCTGGTCATTCTCATTCTATGCTTTTGAAAAAACTTTGCCAAGGTCTTCAATGACTTCCTTGTGGGTAAATAAAATGGACACTTTTTTGATCCTTATTTTACTTGAGCTTGTAAAAATGTTTGACTGCTCTCTGGAAATGTTTTCCTTATGTGGCTTGAGAGTTCCATGCTTTAAAGAAAAAAAATCTTAATTCTCTAAGTGCTCTTTTCCATTTTCTTTTAGATACTTGTCTTCTTCAGTTTGCCCCTAATTGAGTAGTTCACTCACTCATCCCCTGCAACATTCCTAAGGAATTAAACATTTCCATCATTGAGTGATGCACTGTGTCAGTGATAGAGAATAGGATTATAGGGTTGATGTGCAGATGCATAATTTGAAATTTTGTGAGGTGTTACTGTGTGCTTCCTATAGGAATGAGAACACTGTAAAAGAGAAGCATTATATGACTTTTTGAGGATGGTCTTCAAATGCTAATCCAATGGCCAGTATTCAACCTACATTGTATTAGATCTTTGGAAGATCTTTGCCGCTACTGATCATTTACTTCATAATGCCCAGTTTGTTTTTTGCCATTCTCTCCTGTTTCTTTCTCTCTGAACACTCCTTCGTCTCTGATTGCTCTCATTTCCTCTACCCCTAGATCTTTGGTGTTTTCTTGGCTTCTGAACCCTGTCTCCCCCATTTCCCTCTTTTTGCGCATTATAAAATTTCTTCCTAAATCACGTTATCTTTTTTCATGGTATCAAAATTAATATCTGCACACAAACACATGTGGTCCTTACCTTTCTTATGAACTATAGAACTGTTTACTGGACAGTTCTATGTTGATAGTGAACAAGCACTCATAGTTCTATATATAAAAGCCTACGTATGAACAAATTGTACTGGTTCTACATATGAAAAATTGAAATGAATTTTAACCTCTCTCCTGTAACCTTTTTCTCTGGTAGACTCTGTTACCATTAATTACTTATGGCTAGTTAGATATATGATTCTTTCTATGCAGATTTTGAGTTCTTTGGAGGTTAATGGTCTGGCTTAATGCAAAGCTGAATTCCCTATGTCAGTTAATCAAGGGACTTGGGAATTATTCTTCTTGCTCTACCTAATCACCTGTTTTCAGCTTAACTCTAAGTCCTGCACATTATAGTGTCTGAATATTTGTCAGATTCATCGCTTCCTTGATATTCTTAGTGCCACTGTGTTAGGCCTTCATCATGTCACTTGGGTTGTTAAGTGACCTTACTGGCTTCTTTGGCTCTATTACACAGGTGTGCTGGTAAACCAGCTTCTGGGAAAATAGGTAAAGCCCTGATTTTGTAGTGGATGCCAATTTTCATGGTGTTAATCCTCTCACCATAGTTAGTTTTAAGGTACCTACATGTGAGTTGGCTCACAAAATTTCTGAAAATTTAACAGCTCTTAAGAGCCATTACCAGCCAGCTCCAAAACATAAGTGTGGCTAATCCCTTTTCACGTACCCTCCATATTGCTGCCAGAAACTTCTATAAGCTTACAGTGTTCTTTCTTGGATTTAAAACCTTATTACCCTCCATATTGCTGCCAGAAACTTCTATAAGCAAAGCTTACAGTGTTCTTTCTTGGATTTAAAACCTTAAATGTGATGTAGTCTGAACATTTGGATGTCTTACCAGCCTCTTTTCAAACTGCCCCCCAACCTTCCTTTGGAACCTTAACTCATCATTTTTAACCCCTTCTGCCCAACACACTGTGGTCTAGACATACCGAAATCAATATTCCTCCTATTTCTCAAAACACGCCATGATGTTTGCTGCCTCTGAACCTTCCTTCTTCTTGAAATGGCCTTCTCCACTTGTCTGCCTGGCAGGATCCTTAATTCTGCAAACTAGGTGGCAAACTAGAAGGAAATGGTTCTCAGCATTAAGGCTAGAATAGCCCTTTCCTTTTACTTCACCCTACTTTGAAAGTAGTGAAGAATGCAGAATAACTTCCAGCTGACATATAGGTTAATTAATTTGTTCAACTAATAATGAGCACCTGCCATGTGTTAGGCATTGTTTAGGCTCTAGGGATATGGTAGTAAAAAAGATCTTGCTCTCATTGACTATTCTCATAAGTACTCTATTTTGCTTGTTAACTTCATAAGCTGTCAGGCAGTCTTACAGCTATCATGGTTAGGAAATAGTGGTTTATACCTACATTGAGCTCATTTCTACATATCTATTTTTAACTCACAATTCCCCAATTTTTCTCTCATTCACGGATTTGTGGATTTCTATAGGGAAATATATCTTAACATCTAGCATCACTTTTCCCTGTCAGGAGTTTATTTTGAAGTTTCTCTTTTCGTTTACTATTTTATAAATCCTAAATTTCAGTAATACCTATAAGTTTGTATTTGCTTATTTTTATTAAAATTCCAGATTCACTTTTTTATAACAGTATTTGTGCATTGATCTAGAGATATCAGAGACTATAAATATCAAATATAGTTAATTTCTCTGTTGTCATTGTCAGTGACCTTATTTTTTTCTGTTAAAGGCTATGGGGAGTAGTTCATTTTTAATGTTTTACTCAATATTTTCCTTTTGACTCACTCATAAAAATTAACTTTTAGTAGTGTAGCATAGTGGTTAAGAGTGTGGGCTCTGCAGCTAGACTGCCTGGGTTCATATCTTAGACAATAAGGTTGGACAAGTTGCATGCCACGTCTGTGACTGTCTCTTCATCTACGAAATGGGGAAAATGATAGTTTCATCAGGGTTGTGTGAGTTAATACTTGGAAAGTGCTTAGATCAGTGCCTGGCACATAGTAAGCCCTCAGTGAATATTACCACTCTTCTGCTGCTGCCTCTTCCTCTTCTTATTTACAGTAGTTTCTGGTGTATAGAAATACCTCAAAATATGTTAACTATGATTGTAATTGTTTTGTTGTTTATGTCTGTGATTTGGTGCAGCATAATTGATAAAGACTTTTCCTTATTGTTTTCTTCCAGAGTGTTATAGTGATTTTTTAAGTGAAGACTTTGATGTAAAGACTTATACTTCCCAATCTATTCATCAAGCTGTAATTGCTGAACAACTAGCAAAACTTGCCCAAGGAATCAGTCAGTTGGATAAAGAACTACATCTACAGGTAATTCCAATCTTCTTGATGATACAGATTATTCAAATTAAAGTGATAATTTATCATTTTTATAATCCTTTTATTTAATCTAAATGCACATTTACATGAACAGATGTATAACTTAACCAGTGTGGCTTATTTTTCAAATTATAATTTAGAAAAATTTTCTGTAAACTACTTTTTGTTAGTTGAAAAACTAATATGCCCATCTGTCCAAAACCTATTATTCTATTATTCATCCTTTTTTTTTTTTTTACCACTTTAACTGACATGCAGTGAATATAAGAGATGGGCAAAAAATAAGATGACTGATAAATGATAGAAAATGGGATTTTAGAAGTAGAACTGTGTGAATAAGAAATACTGGGATGTTCACATTGGCAGTTCACACTCATGAGCAAGAAGTGTAACATTTGCTGAAATTACAGAGTTCATAAACTGGTGGTGGGATAGAACACAATATAGGGCATTAGGAGGAGGGTCTTAATTTCAGCTGTTTTGTTGCCTTTTATATCACCTAACATCTTTGAGTCTTTATTTGTTTTAAAAAATTCAAGTGAGTAAGAAGGAAGAGGTTGTACTAGAAGATCTTGACAGTTCCTTCCTCTACTACAATTCTATAATTTTTATTGGGCGATTTTATGGTATACTTCCTAGTGTTGCTTTTGTCTGAGTAGGCACTTAATAAATATTTAAATGAATGAACAAATTCATGAATGAATTGACTGTTTACCAGGAAACCTAAATCTGGTATAAGATGAGACATATTTGCTTAAATGTTTTCTGTCTTGCTTTCTTCATCAATTGAAAGAGCAGCTTAGGACTGGGATGACTTCTAAGGTCACTTCGACTCTAAAATTCTGATTATATAATTAGAATTCAATATTTATTTTTTGCCATTTTAAAAATATTTTATTTTTCAATTACATTGATATACAATGTATTAGTTTCAGGTGTAGAATGCATTGATTAGACAGTTATATAACTTAGGAAATGATTACCCAATAAATCCAGTCCCCATCTGACACCTTAAATAGTTATTACAATACTACTGACTGTTCTCCATGCTGTTTTCTACATCCCATGACTATTTTGTAATTACCGATTTGTACCTCCTCCCTTCACCCATTGCCCTGTCTCCCCATCCTCAATCTGACAACCATCAAAATGTTTTCTATGAGCCTGTTTCTGTTTTTATTTATCTTATTCTCTGGTTTCCATATATAAATGAAATCATATGACATTTACCTTTTCTCTGTCTGACTTATTCTCCACTCAGCAGAATACTCTCTCTAGGTCCATCCATGTTGTTACAGATGGCAAGATTTAACTTTTTTTTTTCATAGCTGAATAATTTTCCGTAGTATATATGTTCCACTTCTTTATCCATTCATCCATTGATGAACACCCAGGTTGCCTCCATATCTTGGCTATTGTAAATAAATTCTGCAATGAACATAGGGATACACATGTCCTTTTGAGGTAGTGCTTTGGGTTTCCTCGAATAAATACCCAGAAGTGAGATTATTAGGTCCTTCTTTGTCTTTTGCTATATAACCTTTGTTTCAAAGCCTATTTTGTCTGATATTCTTACCCCACCTTTTTTTGTTTGTTTCCATTTTCATGAAATATCTTTTTCTATCCCTTTCAGTCTGTGTGTGTCTTTGGATCTGAAGTGAGTCTTTTGTAGGCAGTACATGTAAGGGTCTTGTTTTGTTATTCATTCGGCCACCCTGTGACTTTTGATTGGAACATTTAATCCATTTACATTTAAAGAAATTGTTAGACATGTAATTATTGCCATTTTATTATTCCTATTTTTGATCTTTTTTTTCTTCTTAAAGAAAGCCCTTTAACATTTCTTGTAAGACTAGTTTGGTAGTGATGAACTCCTTTAGCTTTTTCTCGTCTAGAAAGCTTTTTATCTGTTCTTCGATTCTAATGATAGCTTTACTGGGTAGAGTAAAATTGGTTGTGGGTCCTTTTGGTATGTGTGCTACCAAAGCAAGCACAGAAGGTCCTTGCTTTTCATCACTTTGAATATTTTGTGCCAGTTCCTCTGGCCTGTGGCGAGTTTCTGTTCAGAAATCAGCCAACAGTTTTATGGCAATTCCTTTGTAGGTAACTAACTGCTTTCTCTTGCTACTTTAAGATTCTCTCTTTATCATTAACCGTTGGCATTTTAATTATGATGTGTCTTGGCACGGACCTGTTTGGGTTCATCTTGTTTGAGACTCTGCGTTCTTGGACTTGTATGTCTATTTCCTTCACCAGGTCAGGGAATTAAGTTTTCAGTCATTATTTCTTCAAATAGGTTTTCAGTTCCTTGGTGTGTCTCTTCTCCTTTTGATACTCTTATGATGCGAATGTTGATATGCTGGATGTTGTGTGTACCAACTATCCTCATTTTTTTGGATTCTTTTCTCTTGTTGTTATTGCGGTTGGATGTTTTCTGCTACCTTATCTTCGAAATTGCTGATCTGATTCTCTGCTTCATCTAATCAGTTGATTCCCTCTAATGTAGTCTTCATTTCAATTATTATATTCTTCACTTCTGACTGGTTCTTTTTTATGTTTTCTATCTTCATTTTTATGTTTCCTATCTCTTTATTGAAGTTTTCACTGAGATCATTGAATATCCTTATAACTAGTGTTTTGAACCCTGCATCTGGTAGATTGCTTGTCTCTATTTTGTTTAGTTTTTTTTTTCTGGAGCTTTGTTCTGTTCCTTCATTTGGGACATGTTTTTTTGTCTCTCCATTTTGGCTACCTTCCTGTTTGTTTCCGTGTATTAGGTAGAACTGGTGTCTCCTGGTCTTAGTAAAGTGGCCTTATGTAGTAGATGTCTTGTGGAGTCCAGTGGCACAGTCTCCCTGGTCACCTGAGCTGGGTGCTCCAGTTGTGTACCTTGTGTGCGTTATGTGTGCCCTCCAGTTGTAGTTGAGCCTTCGTTGTTGTTGGCACGTCAGTGGAGGGGATTACCCTCAAACTGATTAGTTGTAAGGACTAGATGTGTCTACAGTGGAGGAACTCTTGTGCGGGGGCTGATTGTATAGAGCAGGATTCACTTTAGCAGGGCTTTGGTGCCTGCCCAGTCTGCCCTTTGGGTGTGTCATTTCGTGTGGTCTGAAGCTGGACACTAGGTTTATTGTTCTAGGGCCTCTTGGGAGGGGCTCTGGTGCAGACCAAGGTCAGCTGCTGCCTGCGCATTGTCTGGGGCAACTTGTTTGAGCTGCAAAGTGACTTGCAAATGGTTGCTACTTGTGCTGGGCTTTAAGGTGTCTAGAAGAGGTTAAGCTGAGAACTGAGGCTGGTTGGTGTTAGTGCTGAGATGGGGCTGCTTAGCAAGAGGTATGGGGCATATAGAGGTCAGATGCTGCTTGTTTGAGGTTTGTGAACCTTTGAGAGATTTTAGGAAAGTCTGCAGCCTGAGCCAAGACAGGCTGTTTGTATGGAAAAGCCACTGGAAGTGGCTTGGGTGGGCCTGCAAGTTGGTTGGGGTGAGGTCTCAGGGAGTGATCAGAGCGTGGTGACCAGTTTTAGCCAAGTTAATGGAGACTCAGATATGGTGCCTGCCTGTGTCTGCATGCAGGGATGGGGGAGATCTCAACAAAGGAACAATGACTTCTGCCAACACTTCTGTCTGGGAGAGAGCTGCCTTTCCAGCAGTTACCCTGAAGCCAGATAATTCAGTTCCTCTAGGTGTGGCTCTGGTGCCTTTCAAGCTACTGCACTAGGCCTAGAACTCAGAGCAAGAGAGTCTTTCAGTAAGTACGTTTGTGTGCAGGCCTTTTAAGAGAGGTACCTTGGACTCCAGCAGCCTTCCATATCAGCCACAATCTCTGCTGTTTTCACAGCCAGAAATTGTGGAAACCTCTCTTCCTGGCACTGTAACCCTAGGTGGGGGAGTCTGGTATGGAACTGGGACCCCTCTCACCTCAGGGGTGACCTTCGTAGCCCAAATACCCTTCCTGATTTTTAACCATCACGCATGGGTGTGGGTGTAGCTTATGCTGTGTCTCCATCCCTCCTACTAGTCTCGATGTGGCTTTTTCTGTATATCCTTACTTGTAGGACTTCTTATTCAATTAGATTTTAGGCAGTTCTTAATGATCGTTGTTTTGTAGTTTAGTTGCAATTTTGGTGTGGTTGTGAGACGAGGAAAACACAGTGTTTAGCTACTCCGCCATCTCGACTGGAACCTCAGTCTTTATTGATAAGCATTTATAAAACACTTTTAAGTGTCAGGCTTTGCATTAGGCTCTAGGGACAGAAAAATAAACACATTTTTCTGCCTCTACAAGGACTCACAGACCAGCGGGAGAAATAATGACAGGCAAGTGATATCTGTTTTAAATAGAATGGTACGAAGTGTTAATAGAGATCTCAGAGGGTGGCTTTTTTCAAGAACCACCTGAAATCCTTTCTGTCCTTTTATGGTTGGTATTTTCCTTATTCCTTGCAGGCAATACCTTTTCTGCAGGAATAACATCTCTTAGAGGGGAGAAGTTACACTTATGGTAGTTTTGGATGTGAGGTGAAAGTTTCTGAGTCCTAGTATGAGATTTGTACCAGTTGAAATTGTTTTTTTTTGCAGAAAAAAATTGGGTTGATGCTAACCATACTCATAAATAAATCATAATGAAAATAATTAAAAATATTATTGAGATGATCAAAATGACCAAAGTTGTACTAAGGCGTAAATTAGTTGAGGCTTAGTACAGAAAACAGAAACTACTCTGGCTATTTAAAGCAGGGAGATATTTGATACAGAGAATTGGATGCATATATGTAATCGTTGGATGACAGCTAGTCGACTGAGTTGAAGGATATGCCCCTGATGCAACACAGAAGCCTGGAAGCTCCTGCTATTATCTCCCATGCCACTGCTAAAATTCTGCTTCTGGGTACCTGGTAACTGAACTATGGAATGACCAGCGTATCAACTTCTTCTAAATGCTCAGGTCTCAGGACCTTGCTTACTCATTGAAACAGTAATAGGAAGATAGCTTTCCTTTTTCTTCTGTCTTCTAAATCTCTTAGAAAGTCATCTAATTGACTACAGCAGAGTCTTTGAAAGTGTAGTTTTAGACTTTTCAACCTTTCCAAAGTCTAAGGTACAAATAATAGAGAATTAAAAGACAATTCGTCTTGTTAGAATGGACACATTGATGACTGTATCAGTGGACTGGGGGAAATTTACATCTGGCAATCTTAAGGATAAGAGACATAAGGGACCAAAAGAAACACTTATTTTAGATGGATATGATAGAAAGAGCTTCATAGAATGACACTGATATCTGAAACAGGACTAAGTGGAGGATGCAGGGATTCCATTAAATGAATGCTTGTTGCTTAGGAGCTTCAGTTTAGAGATTAGACATGAAACTTCTTATTCATTGGGTTAAAGGATCAAAAGTGATAAAGATTCTTGTAGTCTAAAGATTTACATGTTTTCTTAATGTTTCTAGGACTTTCTTACATGTGGCCTTTAACTCAACCTTTTTAGCTTTTTAATTTTCATAAAACCTTTTTAGTTTTTTAATTTTCATAAAAATAAATCTTCTGTAGGGAAGAGGATTTGCTGCGACACTTGGAAACTGGAAGCAGAGACATGTTCAGGGGTAGGTAGGCACTGACTCTACTTTATCTTTCCAGATTGGAATGTGGTCTTGATGATGGCTGAATTAACTTCAAGAACTAAGAAAATCTGATGTTCGAAAACATCTTTAAAGGGAAAGTGTATAATAGCACAGCAAGAATTAGGTGTTTTTTATTTTTCATTTTTGGCACAATTCCACCTGTACATCCTATTAGGAAGGGAAGGGCTAGTGAAAATGCTGTATCTTCTTTGGCTCTGTCGAACTATAGAGCGTGTTTGTGTTCCTGTTAATAACTTATCTCAAACACACTCTTGTAATCTGTATTTTTTTTTTTTTAATGTTAGTATTTGCCCTCATCTTATCTGGAGAGAGACCTTTAGTTCTACATTGCAGTTAGAAAGAAAAAATATCTGATACTTAAGAGTATATGCTGATTATTCAGTTTTGATTTTCAGGTTGTTACAAGACATGAAGATTTACTGGCACAAGCAACTGGCATTGAGTCTTTGGAAGGTATATTTCCATTAATTATTACAGATTCTGTAGAGTTAAACCAGGGATTGGCAAATTTCTTCTGTTAAGGGTCAGATAGTAAATATTTTAGACTTTGCGGGCCGTACTGTTTCTGTTGCACCTACTAAACTGCCATTGCAGAGTGAAAACAGCCAGACAATATGTAAGTGAACATGTGTGGCTGTGTTCCAACAAATCTTTAATAAAACTTTGCTGACCCTGAACTAAACTATCTGGGTTCAAATTCTTGCTTTCACTAGATGCATAACTTTGGAGAAGTTACTTAATCTTTCTGTGTCTCAGTTTTATCTATAAAGGAGAAGTATTAATAGGCACTAACATGGTGTTTGGAGGATTAAATGAACTAGCACAATTCTTAGAACAATTCCTGACACATATTAGTGCTTCTATAACTGTTAATTAAAACAACAAAAACATCAGAGTGAGTAATAGTGGAAGTAAGCCTGAATTTTTCCTTATTTTTTTCTTTCTTCAAAACTATTCAATGAAAGTATAGTAGAATAATAATACATTAGATTTTTATTTTTATGAGTCCTCTTATTTTTGATTGGCTAAATCTTTTATAAATTTTTATTCTCTTGATTAAACTATGTCTCATAAATAGGAAATGTTAATATTGTGTTTTATATTATCATTTGTGTTGTGATTATCATTAATCATTGCACATCAACAGAAAGCTAAGTGATTTTTTACTGGGTTGATCAAATTCTTAAGGAGGAAGAATGTTGTTTTTTGTGATGCAGTATTCTTTAATGTTTCCCCCAGTATTTTTTATGCACTCAGAGGTATTCTCAGTATGTACACTGTTCCTAGACATCTTGATGAAGAACTTAATATTTTTGGAAATAGTAGTTTGACTGATATTTTAATATTTAAATTTTATGTCAGACTATGTTCTTGGGAAAATTAAAGGGCTCTAAGTACTGACTTAACTCTTGGAAATTAATTTTGTTTTTTAATCTCAACATTTTTTGTGTGTTTTTAGAAGCAAGTAAATATCCTGTTTTAATGGTAATTTTTTAAAACAAGTGATAAATGATTGTTTCATTTGTAAAAACCCATAACGATGGCTCGGTAGTACATTGATTCTTAATGTATATGTGAATGTATATATGTAAAATCACAACAAATACTTCTCATCGTGGTATTCTTATGTGTTTAGTTCTATAATGTGCTTGTTTTTCCTGGAGTGCTTTTCGATGGTTACAACATTTAAAATATACTGTTAGGTTGAGTCAGAATAACTGTTTGTTGGATGAGTGTGTAGAGTACAAAGGCTGGCTTCTCTGAATTCCTGTGATAATCTAAGCATATTCTCCAGATTATTTGAACATAAAATGTCAAAGTATGAATTGGTTAGTATTCATTTTAGTATGATTTGTATTTATAAGCCCTTATTAGAATGTTCTTTTGAGATGCTGAGAAGTATGGTATGTATTTGAAAAAGAATATTCTTCCAGCCTCTACATCATCTGCTTTTTTCCCTATATATTTAAAATTTTGACATATGAGTAGTTTGGAGGTATATTTATTAAGTCTATTTTATTAAAACTGCCCCCTATTTATTTTTTGTTCATTTATTCATTTAAATATTGAGAACTTGCTAGGTTCTAGGCAGCTGTAATAATAGACAGAGTCCCTGTCTTAGGGAATATTGAAGTAAACCTATTTTATAAAAAAAAGATATCCTCACTCATTCATTCATTCACTCAGTCAAATAGTAACTGAGAACTTGTTAGGTTTCAGGCACCTGTGAACAGTAGACGAAGTCACTGTTCCTATGGAACTTAAGTTCTAGGTGGAGAAATAGACAGGAAAAAATGTACAAATAGGAAAGTAAAGGTATTTGTAAGTCCTACAAAGAAAATCAAATGGATGATGGTGTAAAGGAAGGGTAGTCCCTTACTAGCTAGGATGGTCACGGAGACCTTTTTGAGAAGATGATATCTGAGCTGAGATCTGGATAATGAGAAAGAGCTATCATATGAAGATCTGGAGAGAAGAATGTTGTAACCTGAGGGACCAATAAATGGGAAGGTAGGTATTTGTTTGGGATGTTGAGGAGCAGAAAGAAGGCCAGTATGACTGGATTTTTAGTGAACAAGGGAGAGAATTATAGATGAGGTCCTTGGGAAGGAATGTTGAATTTCATTCTAAATGTAATGATAAACCATTAGAAGGTTTTAATTAGGGGTTTTATGTCATAAGATTAATGCTCTTAAAAGTGTTCTCTGGTTCTATAGGAAGGCAAGAGTAGAATTAGGGGGTATCAATTTAGAAGTTATTGGAAGAAGTTGACTAGAATGGTGGATGTAAAGACAGAGAGAAATAGATGGAATAAAATGGGGGCAGATGATAGACTTTGTTGATGAGAGATGAAAAGGCTAAGGTAGAAAGTCACCAGGAGTGACTCCTAAGATTTTAGTCTGGAAAATTGTATGATGGTATGAGTAACTGAAATGGTTAGACCAGAGAAGATTATGATTTTGATGTATCAGGGGTGGGGCAGAAGTTATCTCAGGCATCTTAAATTTGAAATAAGAGAGTTCAGGGTTAGAGATTTGTGTGTCTGTGTGCGCGCGTGTGTGCTCGCTCACGCATGTGTACATATATAAGTAAGCAAATATAATGGAAATTTATACAAATATATGTATATATGTGTGTATAAGTGGATATATGTATAAAATCAGTACTTTATTGAACAGATAGTATTTAAAACATTAAGATTGAATGAAATCCCTAAGAGAAATTGTAGATGGAGAAAGAAAAGATGTCTGATCATCAAATCTTGGAATACTCCAGCATGTAGAAATCTAATAGAGGAGGAGTAGGAGCAACGTATGAGATAGGAGGAAACCCAGCGAGGATGATGACTTGGAAGCCCTGTGGAAAAAAATGTTTCAGAGAGGGAGTGGTTTATGTCATGAATTTCTGAGAGTTTGAACCAGATAAAGACAGAACCAAAAATCAAATTTAACATCTTGGAGATTTCTGGTGGCCTTGATAAGACTTGTTTTGATGGAGTATATATAAAAAGCCTATTGAAATTGCATTGCGGAGAGAATAAGATGTAAGGAAATGATAACAAGTAAGGGCAGTGCATTTTTGTAGGTTTAAGGTCAGTGAACCCTAAAACCAGAAAATTGGGAATCCTTGGGACCAGAGAAGATTTTACTGGACTGAGCCATTTTAAAGAATATTTATTTGTATGCTGATAGGAATGTTTATTAGTTCTAATATAACTTCATCTAATATATAACAACATAATATACTTAAATTTATGTTTCAAAACTACAGCTATGCCAGTTGAATATAGAAACTGAGTTTTAAAGAATGCAGTTCAAGGTAATTAAATCTGTAATATTGGAAAGCCTATTTTTAGCAACATAAAATAATACAATTTAAGATCTGTCTTTTTGAAAATATTTTTAAAATTTTGTGAAAAGTTTACCATGTCATATAGATAGAGAGTAAAGGCAATAATATACTTGCTGTCCATGTTTATTATTTATCTAGCATGTAACTAATTAACAAATATTTATTGATTACTTTCCATGGGAAGTAGTTTGAGTTAGGCTCTGGTCATACAATAGTGAATGAAAAAGACACTTTTCCTAATAGCCAGGGATTTATAGTCTAGTAAGAGTAAAACATTAAACAGATACACAAGTGGATATGTAATTACTTAATGTAATTAGTGCCTAGAAGCAAATGTATGCTGTAGAAGAAAATAGCAAGAGAATCTAAATTAGTTGAGGGATCTATTAGTAATTGTTTATGTTAAACCAGGGCTTGAACGAGTAGTAGTTTATCTACTTGGAGCCTGGCAGTGGGCTTGGGGGTTGGAGAGAATATACCAGGCAGAGTACACCATTTCTGGGTCACGTATGGCCTTGTAGACCAAGCTGTGGACTTTAGTTCTAACATAGGAGTGAAGGGAAGACTGTGGAAGGTTTTTAGCAGAGGAATGTTATGATACAATTTGCACTTTTAAAGATCACTGAGGCTTCTTTTTTTTATTTTTTTTCAATACACATTAACATGAAACTTACCATTTTATCTATTTAAAAGCATATAATTCAGTGACATTAATTACATTTACAGTGTTGGGCAATCATCACTATCTCATACCAGAACTTTTTCTTCACTCCAAATGGGAACCCTATAACCATTAAGCAGTTACTCCCCATTCCTTGTCAGACTTCTTTAGTGGAGCAAGATTTGGAAGGGGAGGTAGTTAGAGGCTTTTATAATGGTACAGGTAAAAATATTGGTTTCTTAGATTATAAGGTGGCAGAAAAAATAGAAATTTTCTATACATATGTGTATATATTGTAAAGTAGGTATAGATTGTCTTTAACTTTTTTATACCCAACTTGAGCTCTTGTAAAATTGCAAAGTAACGTAAGCTGTTTTGTTTTCCTAGGTGTTCTTCAGATGATGCAGACAAGAATTGGGGCTTTACAGGGAGCTGTTGATAGGTACTGTTGTTCATTTTGTATATAAATGGAATGGGAGGTTTTTATCTGTTGATATTTTGAAGATAATTTCATTGTCCCTCCTCTCTTTATTTTTCTTTTAGGATGAAAGCAAAAATTGTTGAGCCATATAATAAAATAGTAGCCCGTACTGCACAGCTAGCAAGACTTCAGGTAGGGTCTCACTCTTCATATCTTTGTACTTTGTTATTCATTTTGTTTTTATAAGTGGACAAATTCAAGAGAATGAATTCTGCGAAAATAAGGTGAGAGAAAAGGGGAAAAATAACTTAAAGGGCTTTAAAATAAGTTATTGAGTTCAAATACAAATCTAAACTATTCAAATGAATTTCTTATTGTGAAGATATAATTGTTTATAAACTTTTTAGAAATCAAAATTATTTCTTTTTATTTTCTACATAGTTTCTATAGATTATAAAAAAACTGTTTGCCTATAGTTAGATATGTAGATTGTTTCAGACTTTTCACAATTGTAGGTACTACTGCTGTGAATAATTTTATTTTATACATAAATCTTTTTCTCCTTTGGGTTATTTTCCTAGGAAATCCATTAACTTTGCTCTTCATTTTACAAAGACAAAGTAAAATTCTCTTTTATTCTTCTCATTTCCTTTTTATGTTTTATTAATGTAATCTGAGGGCCTGATACTGCCCTCTCATTTTTTTAATTTTACATGTCTTCTATTAGCAACACCTTTCCCTTCTCCCGTAGTAATCGTATTTACCATTATTCTATCAACATTCTGTCTTTTCTTCATTGATTTTCTTATTTCCTGTTGTTTTCTCTACAATTTTATTGTTTTATCCATGTCTACTTCCCTATTCTCACTGTTAATAACCTGGTTTATAACATCTAATGTCTGCTGTGTGACACAACTTTGGGAGTCACTGATTATCATGGCGCCTTTCTTCAGTTCATTTAACATCACCAAATTTTACTCTGCTTCAGACACTGGCCTAAAGGCTGGTGTTGGAGGCATCTTAAGACCAGTCTTCTCTCAAATAGCTGATAGAATAGGAGAGACAGGCTGATGATTATAATGTATTGTAATAAAGGCTAAGATAGTGGTGGTTAACAAACACTACAGAGTGTTCACTATATGTTCGGTGCTTAACCTGCATTATCTTATTTATTCCTGTTAGTAATCCTAAGAGATTGGTTTGTAGACAGAGACATTGAGTTTTCCATCATTTTACTTTTTCTTTTTTCCCCTCTTTAACCCCGCCCCCTCTGCCCCCACCTTCCACACCTGACCCATGGATGTTGCTGTTTCCCCTTAAGAACTGGATCTCTGAAGGCGGGGTGTCTCCTCCCACATGCTTGCGGTGTGCACCTGGGGCCTGGTGCACCCCCGGCATATTCAGGGGGCCTGGCACCCCGGGGCATGGCACCCCCGGTGCACTTGGGGGGCCTGATGCACCCAGGGTATAGTCCACGGCTCCACCTGGGGCACAAACTCAGGACCTTCTGTGTGTAAAGCAGACGTGCTAACCTGTAGTAGTGTAGTCTATGGAGCCACCTTCCATCATTTTACTTTTACTTATTTTTGTCTTATACTTAAAGCGCATTTCTTGTAGACTGCATATAGTTGGGTCTTGCTTTTTTAATGGGTTTTACAAACTGTGCTTTTTAATTTGGATGCTTAGACTATTTACATTTAATGTGATTATTGACATGGTTAGGTTTAAGTCTATCATCTTGTAATGTTTTCTGTTTTCCTTTGTTCCTTTTTGCCTCTTTTTCTGTCTTGTTTTGGGTTGATTGAATATTTTTATGATTCCATTTGCTTCCTTTGTTGACTTCTTAGTTATAACTCTTTTATTTTACTGGTTGCACTAGGATGTATAGTATACATTTTAACTTCTCAATGTAACTTCTAGTGATATTATACCACTTTACGGATAGTAGAAGAACCTTACAGTAGTATACTTTCAGTTTTCTCCCAGCCTTTGTGCTATTACCATACATTTTACTTTTACATATGTTTTAACCCCCACAATATATCGTTATTGTTTTTGTTTAAACAGTTATTTTTAAGAGAGGTTTAAAAAGAAAATCTAATATATATATCTATGTAGTAACTATGCTCTTTTTTCCTTTGATTAGGTTCATATTTTCAGGTGGCATTATTTTCCATTTGCCCCAATAACTTATTCTAATATTTCTGCTGTTGAATTTTTTTCAGCTTTTGTATTTCTAAAAATGTCTTTATTTAATCTTTCACTTGCAAGCTATTTTGCTGGACATAGAATTCTAGATTGAACGATTTGTTTCTTTCAGTATCTTAAAGATGCTGCTCAACTGTCTTCTCATTTTTGTTGTTTTCCTATGAGAAATCTGTTATTATCTTTGTTTCTCTGTATATGTGTTCTTTTTCTCACTGTTTTTAAGATTTTTCATTTTATCACTGGGTTTTGAGCAGTTAAATTATGATGTGCCTTGGTGTAGAGTGTGTATGTGTGTGTGTGTATTTGTTTTTGCTTACAGTTAATTGCCTTTGGATCTGTGGGTTTAAAATTTTTTTATTAAATATGGAAAATGTATGGCCATTATTTCTCCAAATATTTTTTCTGTTCCTCCCCTTTCCTCTCCTTCAAGGGCTACAATTACAGATATACTGTACTAGGTGTCTTCAAGGTATCCCATAAATCACTGGATGTTCTATTCATTTATTCCCTCACCACAGTTTTTTCCCTGTGTGTTTTATTTTAGGTAATTTCTATCACTTTGTCTTCAAGTTCATTAGTTATTTCTTCTGTACTGTTTAATCTGCCCCTGATTTCATTCAGTGTATTTTTCATTTCAGATATTTTTGTTTTCATCTCTAGAATTGCGTTTGATTTGTGTCTTTCAATGTATCTATTTAACTTTTTGAACATATGGAATATTATTTAAATGTCTTTACTAATTTATAAATTGTTCTAGGCATATCATATTCCCAGTTTTAGAACATTTCCATCACTTCCAAAACATCCCATTTTGCCCTTGGCTTATTCAGTTTGGGCTGCTACAAGAGAATACCACAGACTAGGTGGCTTTTAAACTACAGAAATTTATTTCTCACAATTCGGGAGGCTGGAAATGTGAATCATGGTGCCAGCATGGTTGCATCCTGGTGAGGGCCCTCTCCTGGATTGCAGATAGTTATTTTCTTGTTGTATCCTCACGTGGTAGAGAGGGTGAGAGGAGCTCTCTGGGGTCCCTTTTATAAGGGCTTCACTTTAAGACTTAATTACCTCCCCAAGGCCTTACTTCCCAATACCATCATATTGGGGGTAACGACTTCATCATATGAATTTTAACTTTCAGCCCATTCTAGTTATTGGTCCTTGTTCCTACCCCCAGTCCTACTCAACTCCTAATCTATTTTCAGTCTCTATAGATTTGCCTTTTCTGGTTATTTCGTGTAAATGGAATCATGAAAGAGAGTCTTTTGAGTCTCGCATCTTTCAGTTTGCATAATGCCCTTCAGGTTCATCCGTATTCTAGAATGTCACTAGTAGTTCATTTTTTTTTTTTTTTTTACTGCTGAATACTGTTTTATATAATGGATGTACCACATTTTGTTTATTTATTTACCAGTTGATGGGCATTTGGATTGTTTCCAGTTATTGGCTTTTATGAAAATGTTATGAACATTTGCTTACATGTATTTGTGTGGACCTATACTTTAATTTCTCTTAGGTAGGTTTCTAAAAATGGAATTTCTGGGTTATATGTTAAGTTTATTTAATTTTTAAGGAATACCACATTGTTTTCCAAAGTGCCTGTACCATCTTATATTTCCACCAGTGTGTGAGGGATTCATTGTCTACACATCCTTTCAACACTTGTTATGTTATCTTTTTTGATTATATCCAGTCTAGTAGATGTGAAGTGGTATCTTGTTATGGCTTCCGTTTATATTTCTTAAATAACTAATGATATTGAGCATCTTTTCATGTGTTTATTAGTCATTAGTATATCTTTATTCTGTTCAGTCTGTTCACATCTTTTAGCTATTTTAAAATTGGGTTTATCTTGTTAAGTTGTGGGAATTTTTTTATATATTATAATACAAGTATTTTGTTTAGTGTATACTTTGGACAGTCTGTGACTTGACTTTTCCTTTTTAAATGTTCTTTTGAAATCTAAAATTTTAAATTTTGATGAAAGTCCAAATTATCATATTTTCTTTTATGGATTGTTAGCATCAGGTTTATTCTTGAAAAATCTTTTCTTTCTCCATTGAATTTTTTTGTTGCTTTCAGAAAATTGAATTGACTATATATGTGTGGGATTACTTCTGCACTCTGTTCTCTTCAGTCGATCTAGTTTTCTGCCTTAATACCATTAGTACACTGTCTTGATTACTACAGCTTTCTAGTAAGTGTTGTTGTTGTTGTTGTTGTTTTTTGGCTAAATGATTTAAAAAAAGGATACTATTTTAATTCTTTTGAAATCCACATAAATATTAAAACCAGCTTTTCAATTTACCAAAAATCTGGTTAGGATTTTGACTGGAAATATAGTGCATCTTTCTGTCAAATTGGGGAGAATTGCTGTCTTAACAATATTGAGTCTTCTCATTCATGAATATGCTATGTCTACAGTTTTTTTAGGTCTTCTGTAATTTTGGCAATATTTTGTTTTCAATTTTGTTAAATTTTGTTAAATTTATCTTTAAATATTTTGTTACTATACTGTGGTATTATTTGAAAATTTTTATTTTTCTAATGTTTATTGCTTTTTTATAGATGTAATTGAATTTTGAAAATTGACTCTATAGAGGAAATTATGAGGATTTTGAGTGCAATGTTGGACTTTCTTTTTAATTCTGTATTGTATATGACTGCCTCCTCCTCCTGGTTATGTGAGACCATTAAAGACTGGTGCCAATCAGTGCTGGACTTCCAATTTTTCTGATTGTTATGTACAGCCACCAATACTAGTCAGGCCTTTCTGTTTTGAGTAATACTACTTTTTCTGGCATCATTTGGTTCAACATAATTTTTGTTTATTTTTCTACATTTAAGTTTTCTTCTTTGTTTTATAAATCAGAAGAAAAAATGAAATACTGATATGTCCATATTAACACTTATTGAATGAGTGAAAAATTATTATTCTGTTCATCTTCTCATAATCATCTTTTGTCTATTTCAGATTAATAATT